AATTTTATTGTGCTTTAAGTGAAAGTGTACAGTTCAAGTTAGCTTCTCATACAAAAATTTATACACACATAGTTATGTGACCCTAGCTGCTCTCTCTATAATGTGACAGCACACTCCTTTCTACCCCAGATTTCCCATGTCCATTCAAACAGCTCCTGTCCCTTCTGCTTTCTCATCTCGCCTCTAGACAGGAGCTGCCCATTTAGTCTCATGTATCTACTTGAGCTAAGAAGCACTCTCTTCACGAGTATCATTTTATGTCTTATAGTCCAATCTATGTCTATCTGCAGCAAAATTTTACTTGTGTGTAATATTAATGAAATTGTTCAATAATTTCCTCATTCTGTTAGATCACCTTTCTTTGGAATGGGCACGTATATGGATCTCTTCCAGTTAGTTGGCCCGGTAGCTGTCTTCCAAATTTCTTGGCATAGACGAGTGATCACCTCCAAGGCTGCAACCATTCGCTGAAACATCTCAACTGGTATTCTGTCAATTCTGGGGGCCTTGCTTTTCACCAATGCTTTCAGTGCAACTTGGACTTCTTTCTTCAATACCATTGGTTCTTGATCATATGCTACCTCCTGAAATGGTTGAATGTTGTCCAATTCTTTTTGGTACAGTGACTCTGTGTATTTCTTCCATCTTCTTTTGATGTTTCCTGCATCGTTCAATATTTTCCCCATAGAATCCTTCAATACTGCAACTCAAGACTTCAATTTTTTCTTCAGTTCTTTCAGCTTGAGAAATGCCAAGTGTGTTCTTCCCATCAGACAATTATCTGCTGCTATTCATAAAGTTCTCACTTGCCAATTTTTTTAGAAATAGATCACCCAGTCTTCTTTCTAGTCTATCTTAGTCTGGAAGCTCTGCTGAAACCTGTTCACCATGGGTGACCCTGCTGGTATTTGAAATACCGGTGGCTTAACTTCCAGCATCACAGAAACACGCAAGCCATCACAGTACAACAAACTGACAGACAAGTGGTGAATCTTAAGATACTGAATTCATAAATCACAGAATTCAAGTTTTCTTGAAGCTATCTAGTCTATCCTTCTGCTTCTAGGAAGGTTTTATCTAAATCAATTCAGGCAGACTGGAATATTTCATATTGCTAAGGAGTTACATGAAAGAACTCATACTCTTTGATTGTAAAATTAGCAATCATCAGAGTTGAATTCCAAACTTCTCAAAATTCTTGTAGTCAAAAGAAAAGCATATAAGACTAATTATGCTGTAGAGTCATTTCTTTGTTCATTTATCTCCTCAGATGGAGCGGGATCATTCTTAAAAGTCTCCATTTGGTTGTAGGTCTCCTACTAGATCGCTATCATAGCAGCCAGTTATGGAATTTGTCCTAATAAGAATCGGAATTAGTATTCTAATAATAACTAATAGTTCACAAGGAATCAAGCAGGAACAGTGATGACAAATCAATATGGAACCCAAGAGAGGGTGATATAAACACCAGAAAGAGGAAATAGCTTTTGGATTCTGACAAACCACAAAGGACAATAAATTTAGAAACCATGTAACCTTTGTCAAACAAAATACTCTCAAATTTTATACTGGAAAAACTTAATAGGAAATATTTAATCCAATCTTGGTTTAATTAAGGTAAAACCAAACTATACCCATTGCCGTCGAGTCAATTTCGACAGATTTTTTTAAAACGGCGGTAAAACTCGTCAGCAAATTTAGGGCTAAAAGTGGGTCTACATCTCACATACATTCTGACATAAGGGGATTTTTATTGCAAATGGAAGGACTAACACCCTTCGGCCAAACCTTTCAGCACATGGCTGTAGCCTGCTCAGTTAAGTGGGGCTTCAAGGTGCTTTTCTGGAGGCACTATGGAGAGAGGGCATTGCAAACATTTAGTCCACAGCTAGTGAGAGGACAGTTAATATTAGCAGCATAGAGAGAAAAAATTTTTTACAATAGTTAGAACATCTCTGTTAAAAAGAGCCCTAAGAATCTAGATGATGGGTAAAGGTGGGGCTATTTACACTATTTTGTTTACTCTGTATACGATTTTTTTTAATAAAGTTTCTAGAAATCCAAGAAATAAGAGCCCACAGTGAAGATCCAAGCAAAGCAGAACTGAAACATCAGCAGCATGGCTTCCTTGCATTTCTGTGCCAGATGCTGATTATAATTACATTTCCATACAGGGAGAGGGCTGGCCATTTGCCAGAATCCCGGTTATTCTGGAACACACATGCCTGTCTGAAATCCGAAACCAACAACAGACGGCCACCTTGTAGGAGTGTAAAGCTTAAGGCAAATTTTGCTGTTACAATGAAAGAGCTCAAGTGCGGCTCTCATGGCCCTCGTGGAGAATACAAGTCCAGCAGCAAGAGAATAGGCCCACAGACAAGACCATTTGCCTCCACAATGCCTCTCAAACTTATTTCAAAAAGAAATGAGGTACTAAGACATATTGTACTTCTAGATGATATAAAGTCTACATTTAGTTTTACTTATTGACCATGCAAAGTTTAATAAAGTTTAATAAAATGAAAGAGAAATGCAATGGTCCATCACATCCAGTCATTTTCAAATGATTTTATTTTTTAAGATACCACTGCAAAAGGTACAGAATTCATCTTATATAGTGTTACATTGTATATAGTGATTCATCATTATACTATTACAGTTGAAGGAAAGTGTCTAAGTAAAATCATATGCAAGGAAAAAAACCCAGCATTAATATTTTTGTAAATGCTTACAACTATCTCCTATAAAAGTTAATGTGAGGGGTGAGGGCACCAAAACACAATTACCAAAAATATAGATTCTACTCACCAGTTTGATTGCTACATATTCATTGGTATAGAGATTTTTACCTAGGAAAGAAGCAGAATGTATATGTTTTAGTGACATTTATTCTGGGAAATGCAAAGCAAAATCTTAGCTCACAGGGTCATGAGAAAGGTCATATTCCCAAACCGTTCACATGTATAAAACATGATTTATAAGTGAAAAGCTAGACAGAGATAAATAAGACTTAGCAAGTATAGAACAAAAACAGCTTGAGAATATGGAAATTTAAGTTAGATATGAGAATTTTTTTAAAGAAAGAAAAAAATCAGTGTCTCTCTCTAACACACACATATATACACCACACACATTTCATATTTATTATTTCCCAACTATTAAACCATGAAACAAACAAAAAAGGAGGAATGTCAGAATTGCAAAGATACAGAGATTTTAACTCTTGGCATGGACCCACATTCTACAAACTCACTGACAAATAGGGATTTTCTTGTTTTTTTTTGTGTCAGGGTATTTAATATCTTTAGAGGACATAAAGGATAAAATGAAATAAAACCAATTAGTGCCCGTCCTTCCTCTTAGAGAACTCATCTACTGCCTGTAAACAGACAAATCTCAAAGCTGTTGTAACTTTTCACAAGAACTTCAGTTCTCTATCTTTTGCACAGGAAACAGATCTCCACCTATACAGCACTATCATCTCAAAGTTCTTCCTGTGATGATAACAAGTTTCCCTCTCAATGTCTGCCTTAGTAATCTAGTGCTGCTATAACAGAAATACCACAAGTGGATGGCTTTTAACAAAGAGAAATTTATTCTCTCATAGTCTAGTAAGCTATAAGTCCAAATTCAAGGCATCAGCTCCACGGGAAGGCTCTCTCTCTGTCAGCTCTGGAGAAAGGTCCTTGTGATGCATCAGTCTTTCCTTGGTCTGGGAGCTTCTCTGCACAGGAACCTCAGGTCCAAAGGATGCACTCTGCTCCCGGCACTGCTTTCTTGGTGGTATGAGGTTCCCATGTGTCTCTGCTCACTTCTGTCTTTTATATCTCAAAAGAGATTGGATTAAGACACTATTTAATCTTGTAGACCTCATCAGTAGAACCTCATCATAGTGACAGAGTTTACAACACATGAGGAAATCACATCAGATTACAGAATCATACAATACTGGGAATCATGACCTAGCCAAGTTGACAGATATTTTGGGGGACACAATTCCATCCATGACAATGTCCCTACTTCTATAAATGGAACCAAATTCTCCTAGACATCTAGACTAAGGACCTGCAATGATGATGGGGTGATGATGAGAGCAACAACTATCACTTACGGAGCCCAGATTACATGTCAGGTACTTAGCTCCCCTCCATCTTTCTACCCCCACTGATCTTCGAAGGTTTAACTTTAATTCTGAGTGTTTACTATGTATCATATAGTTTAGTCACTGCATAGGACTTCATAGTGCTTTTTAGCCCTTCTTATATGTTTGTCCTATCTTATCCAACTAGGCTATAAAGATCCTGAGGGTAAGATTTTATCTACTAGTTCTCTCATTGCCCTATGATGCTTAAGATCATGTTCTGCACATATCAGACATTCAAAACATTGACTGATTAAAAGGCATTGGTATGAATAGCATGACTACTTTTTAAATTATACACAAAAGTAAATGTTACATTTATATATATATAGCTGATTATATACGTATATGTACATATATACACACACAGACATATATATATAGAGAATATGGAAAAGGATATAGAAAGATGTACATTAATGTGTTAAAATAATTGTTCCTTATATTTTGATTTTTATATAACACATAGAGCTTTTATAATTAAAAAAAAAAAAAAACAAACACGTCATTGTGCGAACCAAAAACTGCTTATAATACAAGTTTGCATTTTTACCAAGCTCTAAACAACAGATGTCCTTTGCAACTACATCACTACATCACTATGCTATCACATTGCCGAACACCTTTATGTGTCAAAGGAGTACACAAATTTAGGAACAACTGTCTGTAAATAACACATAAGGAGCACTCACAGGTTGCCAGACAAATGCCTAAGAAATCATTCTAAGGCATACAACTTCTTTTGTAAAGGAGCACCGGCAGAAAATATGTATTCTCCCCTTTCTATATATTAGTTTTGGAGCCCTGGTGGCAAAGTGGTTAAGAGCGTAGGCTGCTAACCAAAAGGTCGGCAGTTCGAATCCATCAGCTGCTCCCTGGAAACCCCATGGGGCAGTTCTACTCTGTCCTGTAGGGTTGCTATGAGTTGGAATCAACTAGACTGCACTCAACAATAACAACACGTATTAGTTGCAATAAGCTTCTAAAAGTTTATTTATGTTTCTGATTAATGTTCCCACAACAAATAATTTTGATATATTTGATGAAATTGTGAAAACGATACTAATAAATGGGAGAGGAATAGAAAAAAAACAGATAGGCAAAACAAACAAACAAAAAACCATTGCCGACAAGTCAATTTCGACTCACAGTGACCCTATGAGACACAGTAGAACTGTCCCATAGCATTTCCAAGGAGCTGCTGGTGGATTTGAACTGCTGACCTTTTTGGTTAGCAGCTGTAGCTCTTAACCACTGTACCACCAGGGTTCCAGTAACAGACAGGCAAGTCCCAACCAAATTTAGACTCCAGTTTGGCCCACAGACTTCTTCCACACCAGATATATGTTACATAAAGATTTTTCAGGAGATCCCTTGATGGCTCTGTATAAGCATTGCTATTGTGACAATTTTAGCACAGAGTTAAACCCTAAGAATCTAGCATAGCTTAAAGAAATAAGGTCAGGTTATAAAAGTTTAAAATTGTAAATGTGTTCTGAACTGTTGACCTTCCCCGCCCCTAGTTTTAGCAGTAGGATTTACTGGGGGAGATGAGGGAGTAGAGACACTAAAATTCACCCTTTACTCTTTCAGAATACAGTGTGCCTTCACTGTTTAAAGAACTAACTTCATATTTGAAGTACATGCTGCATAGTTCCAAATTAAAAAGGCATATGGTAGGGTTGTATCCTTCTACTTTATTTATTCAATGCTGAACAAAATAATTTGAGAAGCTGGGCTATATGAGAACACAGCATTAGGATTGGTGGAAGACTAATTAGCAACCTGCAATATGCAGATGACACAACTTTGCTTGCTGAAAGGGAAAAGGACTTGAAGATTTACTGATGAAGATCAAAGACTATAGCCTTCAGTATGGATTACACCCCAACATAAAGAAAAATTCTCACGACTGGACCAATAAGCAACATAATGATAAACAGAGAAAATACTGAGGTTGTCAAGGATTTCACTTTACTTGGATCCACAATCAAAGTCCACGGAAGCAGCAGTCAAGAACTCAAAAGATGCATCGTATTGGGCAAATCTTTAAAGTGTTGAAAAGTAGACATATGAGACCAAATGGGCAGCTCCTGTCCAGAGGTGAGATGAGAAGGCAGAGAGGGTCAGGAGCTGGTTGAATGGACATGGGAAATCAGAGATGGAAAGAAGAGTGTGATGTCACAGCATAGGGAGAGCAATTAAGAGTCACATAACAATGTATGTATAAATTTCTGTATGAGAGACTAACTTGAATTGTAAATTTTCACTTAAAGTGCAACAATAAATAAATAAATAAAAATAAAGTGTTGAAAAGCAAAGATGTCACTTTGAGGAATAAGGTGCGCCTTCCCAAGCCATGGTGTTTTCAATCACCTCATATGCATGCGAAAGCTGGACAATGAATAAGGAAGACTGGAGAAGAACTGATGCCTTTGAATTACAGTGTTGGCAAAGGATATTGAATATACCATGGACTGCCAGAAGAATGAACACATCTATCTTGGAAGAAGTACAGCCAGAAAGCTCCTTAGAAGTAAGGATGGCAAGACTTTGTCTCACATACTTTGGACATGTTATTAGGAGGGACCAGTCCCTGGAGATGGTCAGTGAAAAAGAGGAAAACCCTCAACAAAGACAGACTGACACAGTGGCTGTAACAATGGCTCAAACACAGCAACGGTTGTGAGGACAGCGCAGGACTGGGTAGCATTTTATTCTGTTATACATAGGGTTGCTACGAGTTGGAACCAACCTTGACAGCACCTAATAACAACATGTAACACCAAACACGGTAGCTTATACATCACAAAAGGCTAACTTGCTTGTTCTTGCCTGCTTTTCTCTGGGGGCACCAAAAGAACTGAACACATGTCACCCTTTTACAAAGCAATCATCTTTATTCCTAAGAGGCACTCCAATAATTCCCCTGAGTGATGCACTGCGCGAATGAATTCCTTTGCCAGAGGGCAAAAAAATCATTAACACTAAACAGGTCAACACAAAAGGCAGCCATGTGGAAGTCTAGACAATCACTCAACCACTATCCTCTGTGATACATACTATACAGAAATTTTGCTCTGGAAGAATTTAATTACAAAGATTGACAGTTAAAATCTTTGCCCATTTAAAATGAATGACCGCTTCAGCTAAAAAATATATACATATATCAATATCTGTGAGAAAGGCAGGCAGTTTAATGGACAGAAAAATACCACTGATGAGATGGCACAATCCCAAACACTCAAAGCTTTTAGTATCTGTTGCACAAAATCTACAATGCTTCCCAGTCTCACTTCCTGACGATGGCTTCTTTTATTATTAATGGAGAAGAAACTGCATTATGTAGGAGTTTTTGGGGCTTTATACCTAAACTCAGCCCTTTCAAAGCAGCAGTCCCAGATTTGATGCTACCCATAAAACCCACTGCAGGAAGACTTCCTGTTTCAGTAAGTCACCTACAGAGACAACATTTACCGTAAGCTTCATCAGACACAGCATTATTTCAAAGAACCAGCAGGTTTCAGGTCTCAGAGCCACACTGATAAAGGAACATACAGCCTCCAGTCCCCAGTTTAGTTACATCTCCAGCTGTCACATTTTCTTGCCCTAAAGTGAGACCAGTATATTTATAAATTACTATCTAGAACTTTTAAAAAATCCAGTCAAATGAACTTGAGTCAATTAGTAAAAAGTAAAAAGTAAGAC